ACCTTTTTGTGAGGCCGGAAATTGTTTTCTTGGATAAGATCATAGAAACATTCACTTTTCTCTGGCTTTAGATCCTTCTGCAGACAGAGTCTGTCACCTACAATGGACTTTGGCTCCGGTCTAATCATTTGTGCTTGTCCCAGAACTTTGATTATGAAACCAGCAGAAGCATTTGCTTGAGAAAAATATAGAATTAAATGTTAAAAGGAATGATTTCTAGTCCATTAGGTTTTCCTCCCACTCAGATACCCAGAGGTCCTAAGGTACAGAATAAAACAAAACTTTAGACCAAGGTTTTGGTGTTTATTCCATTTTCACTGACTTGTTGCAGTACAGACACTGTGCTAGGCAATGTGGGAAGTACAGAAATACTTGCCTGAAGCTGCTTCCTTCCTAATAATGGAGATTCTACATCAGTTAAGTACATACTTTTCATTCTACTCTGCCAGGCTAATGCTCTTGTGCCAATAATTTCTTAGTTTGTAGAGCACTTTCACATACAGTATGTCATTTGATCTTCAAAATTCTATGAAGCAATTAGGTCCTAGCCTTATTTCACATATGGTGAAACTGAGATTTTTGGTCGGGTGGCTAGGAAGTGCTGGACCTACGAGTCAATCACGGCTTTGGGATGAAACCTGCCATAGTTTCCACTGCATACTACAACCATTAGAGGTAAAGGCACCATTAGACAACACACAAAGACTGGGAACCCTGCTGAGTTAAAATTGTTCTCTGGAGCTCAAGTTCCTTAGGAGTTTTTCAGGGTTTCCATTTTGAAAGTAAACTGGGATTAACTTTGAGTTTAAGTACTGACTTTTTTTCGTATTTTAAGTTTGCATGAGGATAATAGTTCTCAGGAGAGTCCCTGTCCTCTCCCTGTACTTTCATATTTTCCCTTGAACTCAGTACCACTGACATTTATATGTGTCTTAAGTCCACTCACCTAGCCAGGTCTCTCAAAATCCAGTCCTGAATTTCCAGCTGGTGAACATCACCACATGGATGGATCACCGCACCTCTAACTGAAGTCCCAAACCAAATAACTCACCTCCCCACGAATAAGCTCTGTGTCCCTTATCTGAATTCATTGCATCATTCTGTTGGTGGTCATTTTCAATAACTCCCTGCTATTCATCTCACCAAATTGCAAAGTTATCTTTTGTAGTGCCTCATAGCTATTTTCTCTTTTCTAACCCTATTAATCACAGACCAAATTCAGAACTTAATTAGCTTTCTTTGGATAATTACAATAACTACCTTCATGCCTCTTATATTCATCCTTCACACAGTCATCAGAGAAATCTTTCCGAACAACCTCAGAATCTGTTAGTGACTACTACCTGCCTATGGTTGATCTGAAATCAGTCTACCTTTTAAGTGTCATAATCCTCTACTCCCTCTCTAAACAAATGGTCTTTATTCTTGAATTTTATTATGTTCTTCCATGTCCACATTCATTTTCTTTCCTCAGCCTGTAATGCTCCTTTCTCCCTGTTCAGCCTTCAAGGCTTCAATTTAGATGCCCTTTCCAAGAAGCCTTCACTGGTGCCCCTGCTTGGATTAGCCCCCTCTTCTGTGCTAAACTTGACCTCAGAGGATAGCTAAAATTTGTGAGGCAATGGTAACCGAGGCAGTGGTTGTCAGCCATTTTTCACCACTGACACCTTCCCATCAGTGACAGTGGTTCACTGTGGCCAAGACTCTCAACCAGGCAGCACAGTGCTCACCCATAGGATGGCACCTCAGAATGTTGATTAAACAACAAGATCTAATTTTAACATGCCCTTCCAGGGGAGCCCTCTGCGTTCTGCCAGCCGCATGAGAAGCAATGACCTGGGCACTGATCCTCAGCTTTACAAGTTCAGAAACTCAATTTTGTCAGCTTATCCGGTGATAATTGGGCCCTAGAGTATTGAGTCGTGCAACTCACAATCACAGGAGGTTGATTCATAGCCCAGAATGTCAATTAACCAATATAAAATGGAGGATACAGCTTCCCTGTGCTGCACTACTCATGACCCTTTTTCAGACCACTCTCTAATATCTAGATGGCTGAAAGCCAAATAGGTAACTATGAAAGGTTAAGAGAAAACTGGGCTGATGAAAGACCTGGTTTTTCAATCCCAGTCTTGCCACTGACTTTGATATTGGGCAAGTCAAAGCCTTTCTGAATCTGTAAACTTGAAATTGCCTGCATCAGAAAATTGTCAGGATTGATTAGCACGTATGAAAGTACTTTGTTCATTATAAAATATTTTTCACATATAAGAAACATCAAATCATAGGAGATTCTTCTTGTCAAGGATTTATCACCTATTCTAGGGCTTGCAACGCAATCTTTGCTATATTGAAGAATATGTTTCTATTTTTTTTTTTTTCGGTAAATTTCATATGCAGGGCCAGATATAGTGTACTTAGTACCAGATCATTGTTCTCCATCTTGACCCCTTCCTGTAAGCACCACATACACTATCATAATGTTGTTTCTAAATCATACACCTTTATTGTTCCTTTTAGGTTGGCTGTCTCCTGGGACCAGGCTGCTTCTAGATAACACCAGAGTTTTCAATTCAGTAGGTCTAAGGTAGGGCCCAAGAATTGGTACTGTATTTCTAATAGATACCCAAATGATGCTGATCTAGGAACCATACATCGAGAACCAGTGATATAGTTTCAACGACAGTGGTCTTGGCTGATGCTGATAAGAAAACCTGCTACTTCCCTGCTACTGTCTTGCATTCAGCTGAACTCAGGTTCAGCTGAGTGCCTGTCCTTTCCCCACTTGGGTAGAAATTTATGCTTTTGTGCTCAGATCTCTGCTTTAGGGATTTGCCTGAGCTGTTATTTCCCAGTTGTGTAGACTCGTGTCTCTCTCTGGCTTTATCACTATGTCTTACTGCAGAATTCAGAATTTAAAAAAAGATTTTTTTTAAAGATATAGTGTCATTTGGAAACATTTTCCTAATTGTCTTGAATGGAAATAGCAGGGAGCTTGATGATTCTTGGATGGCATTACCCCCTGGCAGAAAGGGAACCAGACAACCGGCTGACTTGATTGAAAGTAATTGGAGGGCAACTCTTTGAGGGCTATGTCTAAAAATATGTTTTTATGCTTAGGTTCTAGCACCAAGTGCCCAGGCATTGTTCTAAGGAATTTGTATCTATTAACACATTTAGTCCATATAGCATCCCTGTAAATCTCTATTTTACCTATGAAGGTACTGGGGCTCAAGGAAGCGGAGTGCCTTGCCTAACTTCACACAGCTTGTATGAGATCCAGGCCATTAGACACTAGAGTCGGAACTCTTAACCACTATGCTATGCCATGTAATACAGTGTTCAATAAGTTTGTTCAGTGTTACGAAAGGCTGTATGCTTCCTACTTCACAGAAAAAGATTAAGTCAACAGATAGTCAACTTCAGCTTTCTTCCTCCTCTAATTTATAAACTCATGTATATCCATATCTTGCCCATTTTCTTCCAGTCTCAAAAAATTTTTCTCTATTCAAGGCCAGTCCTTCCTTATGCCCCTGACCCTACCTCTTCCCATTTTTATCAGTTATTTAGTAACTTTAATCTCCCTTCTTACCCTCCTCCCCACCCATCAACTTGCTCAAGCATCTAAGAAAATTCTCCCAATGACAGCAGCCCCCAACCTTTTTGGCACCAGAGACCGGTGCTTCTATGAGAATCTAACCTCTGATGATCTCAGGTGGAGCTGAGGCAGTGATGCTAGCACTGGGGAGTGGCTGTAAATACAGATGAAGCTTTGCTTGCTCATCTGCCACTCACCTTCTGCTGTACAGCCTGGTTCCTAACAGGCCACAGACCGGTACCAGCCAGCAGCCCCGGGGGTTGGGGACCCCTGCCCTGTGGGACCCAGCATTCACTTTTCCAGCCCCCATTCAATCATCCTCTCCTCCCATTCAAGCTTCTTGAAAGAGTAGTCCCCACCTCTAACCTTACCTCCCATTCTTAAGAGTCTCCAATCTGACTCCCACCCTCATAGGCTATTTAAACTGCTTTCACCAAGTTAACCAATGTGTTCCCAATTGCTAAGTGTTCTTATTTACTGAAATTCCATGCTGGATTTGATTGTTCTCTCCCTTTTGAAACTGTTCACTTGGCTTCCCGGGTTGGTTCTGCCCTCAGCACTCTATTAATTCTCCCTGGGAGACCCTATCCACTATCCTAGTTTCAAATGACTACCGCTTAGTAGTCTTGGTATCTAGGTGTGGGGAGGGAAGTATACCCGTATTACCTTGTACATTTCTATTATCTTTATATCTGTCTTCTCACTAGATTTTGAGCTACCCGAGGGCAAAAACTCTTTTATCTTGATTTCCTCAGCTCTTAGCAGAGCCTGCTGCAGTAGACATGCAATAGATATCTATCCGTTGGACAAATTACCTTTTGTAAACTTTGCTTCACAGGTGTCCAAGCAATTCCAATACATATCTCCAACTGTTTACAGAAATATTTTTTAAATTGTACAGGGTGTTATAGATGTGCAGAGAAGGTGACTATCATTGTTGGCCAGGTGAGACTTATGAAGGTATAGAAATAGTTAAAGACCAGACGCAGGAAAGGGAGGGATAGAGTACTAGCATTGAACACCCAGGCCAGAGACTGAGGGGCAGCAACCAGAGTGTCTGTTGAAATATCAAGTTTGGATAAGGGAATAGAAGATTCACCTAAAAAGATAGGTAGGAATATAAATGTGGAGGGCCTGAAGGCTAAGTTAAGGAGTCCTGACTTTATTCCATGGGCAGGTTGGAGCCCATACCGAACAAGGTGCTCAGTGATCCTATATGAATTTGCCGGAAGAACAATTGCTAGATTGTAACCAGGATACACTCGAAGTGAGCAGACCAGTGAGACACTGTGATGAGCAAAGTGAGAGCCTGATACTGTGTGGTAGCACCAGCAACTACAAAGAGAACAGATGCAGTACTAGACAGATTTCATCAAATCTAAGAAATATGCATATTGAAACATTTTTTGAAATTAATCTCATGGTTTATTGCATGTCTTAATTTGATTGATAGCATTTCTTTCTTAACACATAAAATAATGGTTATCTTAAAGCTGATGTCTTAGAGTCAGTGAATACAATAAGTAGATGTAAGAAATTCAAAGGCAAAGTTTTAAACCCTGCTGATTGGAAGAACTGTATTATTTATTCCTGACAAAGATGGAAGGGCATTTCCTTGGTCCCTGTATAGGCGTCTAACCAGACCTTCTGCTTGAGCAATGACCCATAGACATTGCTGCTCACTCACTTTCCCCATCTGAACTTTCTAATAATTAAAAATAAGAGGAAGCACTTATTAATGTCAGCTCCAATCTGATCGAGAAGAGGTTTCGGTGGTGAGACGCCCAGTTGGAAGAATGCACAAGGGACCGACATGAGAATGAAACAGCAGGCACTAACTTTATTGTGGGGAGCGCAGTTCTATTGCAGGGAGTGCAGTTCTATTGTGGGGAGTGGGCTTCTGCTCTTCTGCTCCCCTTCTGCTCCCCAGGGGACTGCATGGCTCCACATATATCAGAGTACAATAGTGGCATTCAGCCATACATACATGATAAATAACCTGAATTATGTTTGCATATTTTAGGCGCAGGCACCTACTAATGTTAACATTCTAAATCTGGGGTCCTATTCCTAGCCACAAGCCTGGATCACAGCCAGACCTGGGACCCACAAATGACAATTTTAATATGAACTTGTGTTTGAACCTCAGGAAACTGTCATAATATTAAGGGAAGAGCAAGTTGCCATCGAAAGGAGCACGCTTGGGGATAGATGGCATGTAGTTTCTGGATCCAGGCGAGACACGAATACACCAAAGCAATTGATAATATCAGTCATTTGAACAATCGGAACTTCTTCAAATACTGGGTCACTTCTTCCTTGGGGTAGGGACGGAGTGCAATGCAAGTGGCAATATTCTCTGGCTGCTCCAGCCACAGTATGTGGTTGATGTTCTTCTGTTGCAGCGTCTCAGCCAGCTCCTTTAGGGTGGCCTCATCTGGTGCCTAAAAGGAGCAGAACACAGAACACAGAACACAGACTGAATAGCCCATTTAGGAATCTCAAAAGGCAATGAAAAAAAAAAAGTATGGTGGGGGGGTTCCTCTTAACTGAAAGGGAATTACAGCTCTGCCAAAGGAGCTGTAGCGTATGTCTCCAGAAGCAACAGCTGCTTCATTGCTCCATTTTCCATTTACGCTTTGTAGGGCCTTATAAGCTGCCTGGGGACAAGGGGACAGGGAGAAGGAGAGAGGCTTACTATGCTTGTTTATAAAATGAAGAGTTTTCCTTCTTGAGACACTGTATGCATTGGGAATAATTAGACTCTATGCATTTTCTAGTTCTCTTATGGCTGGTGCCGAAACAGCTACTCCTAAACCTTCAGCCAGCTCTGACTTAAAGAACTGACTACTGGAAAGATTTCTTAAATCCCATTGCCTCCACCTCCCTCCGCCCCTCCCACCCTACTCCACCCAAACCAAGGATTTTCCTTCTGCCGCATAGTTCCTATTTGTTAACTCAAGGGAGGGTAAATTATTCTCTAATATTCTTCTGAAGTTGTTTCTCACCATCCTTAACATCCATGCTGAATCCCATTATAGGAAGTATTAAAGCCATCACTCAGAAAATCAAGATACTGTATTATGTTACATAGGGTATATTTTTTGCCTATGAAGGCAAAAGCTGCTAAGATAACTCAAGCTTTGTTTTATCAAAGTAGAGGATGCAAGGATTGAGCAATAAATCTACCAAATCCTTTAGGCAGAGTCACACTGGAGAACTCATGGTCTTCCCCTCCCTTCTTCAGCAACCGGCAGCAGCACAGTATAAATCAGAGTGAGGCCAAACTCTTTACCACTTACTGATTGCGTGATCTTTGGTAAGTTATGTGACTTAGCTGGGCCTTTGTTTCCCCTTCATAAAACAGGGATGATAATGCTTCCAATAGTAGTGAGGATCAATGAAATTAGGCTCAGACCTGTGCTTGGCAGACAGTAATCTTGGTATTGTCTTTTATTGGTCTTTATGGCTACAGCAGCACCTTAATTCAGTCAGTGGTGACTCCTAAGTCCCTTTCTTGAGTCATGGCTAACAACTAGGAATCACCGGAAGTCTTTTAAACTCAGGGGATAATCACTTAATCTCTGTGGGATTCAGATTGCTTGTTTGAGAAAAGAGTAAATATATTATCTGCTTGAAATCCAGGGAGAGGGTGATGTCTGAACCAGATGATTCCTTCAGGTCCTCTTCCTATAAAAAGACGCTAAATGAAAAGCTATCTGCCTACAGGTTATCTTTCTCAAGACATTTGCCTACAGATTACTTTTTGATGTTTCACTACCCAACAGCAATTTTTCTCTTGCAAGATAATCTAGCCATGAAGGGATTACCCCACCCTTCCACCCTAGGATTCTGGTTTGCTTATTTATTAAAATAGATAAATTTTATGAGAAAAAAAGCTTTAAACTAGAAGCAATTTTTTCTTCACTGTATGTGTTTAATGTAGAAAAGGGAAAGGAAAAGAGAAGCACTGGAAAATAACCAAAATCTCACCACCTACTACTTAATATTTGGATGGACTTCCTTAGTTTTTCCCTTTCAAAATGTGGATCATTTTATATGTAAAAGTTAATTAGCATCACATTGTGCTGCGTGAAAAATTACTGCTTGGCTATTGCCCATGGGAACATAGGCTATCACCCATGGGAACATAACATTCTAACAATAAGCTTTCTGCTTCTATACCCCCGCTTGCACACCTGACCTGTGGGTTGACAGGTAGTGGATAGGAGAAAAATAGACCTTTGTGTTTAAAACAGAATGAGGAATGGGATTTAGGGCTTAAAAACCCTGTACCTCTACATTTTGGGGCTGCTTAATTTGGGATCTGCGTACCCCTGGCAGACCCAGCTGGCTGAATAGTGTGCTTCCTATAACTCACTGGTTTCTGGTGGTCCGTGTTTCTACCCCGGGCTGGCAGCCACAATAACATCATAAGCACTCTTCTATGCCAACTAAATATGTTCCAGAAACATGATTTATTCTAGTTTCATAATCCATTATAAGGACACAAATTAACCCATCCCTAGTACTGGAAATTTAGTAATTTCCACATTTACCATTATAAAGCGCTCCTATGAACATCCTTGTACAATGCTCTTTGGGTGCATCTGATTATCTTAAGATACATTTCTAGTAACAAAATCAACAAAGGGTGAGGGTAAGATGTTTGGCCATCTGCAAAAAAGACTTTAGCGCTTTTTTACAACTCTGGTGTGTAATGTTTCAACTTAAACGAGGGTTTCACATTTTCAAATAATTTGGCGTCATGCCCAGGTAAAATCTTCAGTTTGACTTCACTAGCAACGAGTATCCCGCGTCTTTACCGCTTCTGGGTCGGTTTTGGGGAAGGAGGTGGGTCAATACCTTTCCGCGCTGCCTTAAAAGGCCGGCCCAGTGCACAGGTAGAAGGGCGGGTCTCGTTCCACCAGCCTCCGCCCTCACAGGTATTTACTAAGAGGCAGGCAGATGAGGAGTGCCGGGAGCATTAATAACGGACTCGATATCTACCCTTCACAGGCCCTCCCCAGCCAAGGGAAGGCTCCCTGGACAGTAGCCCAAATTCCCCGTTTCTAAACGTTTTAGACCTCTCCGCACTAGCGGTGCTTCCACGCTGGGAAATTACTCCTCGGTCTCAAGACCACACCCACTTCCGCTCTCGGCCTCCTCAGCGTTCCTCCCCCCGGCCGGTGCCTCACCTCGAGGACCACCTTGCGCATGCGCTCCAGCTCCTGGAGGTAAGCAACCGTGTGCGGGTGGTCCCGGTGAACGTGCAAGGCCGCAGTGGCTGCGTGACAAGCCTGAGCTACCAGTGCGCCCGCTGGCCAGGAGAACGGTGCCTGCGATAGGTCCTTTCGTAACACCAAGTATTGTACCAAGATCTGCGGCTCAGCGCCAGGTATCGCCATCTTCCTGCACAGCTGAAAGGCCTGGCCCGCTCCCCGGTGCATGCCGGGATCAGGGAGGGGCCTTGAGCGCTGCCATGTTTTTGTACGGTGAGTGCGCAAAGCATGCTGGGTCCGATTGGCTTCGATTTGAAGGTGAGGACGGCGGGAACTCTCGTCCCTGGATTGGGTGAGCTAGAGGAGAGGAGGTAAGGGGAATAAGACCCAATGAGGGACGGGACGGTGACCAGGGTGGAAGACCAGACGGCCTCTTACAGCTCCTTACGTGCGTAAAACTCGGCCGAACCGGAGAGTCCAAGCCCTCGGGAGCGCGCAAGGATGGGGAGGCGGACGCCGCCGACTCTCACCCAGGAAACGGGCGGGAAGGATAAGGAAGGGAGAGTCTTAGCGATGACACTCGGGGTGTCCGGGGCCGACCGGTGCATGACTGAGTTGTGTGTGCTCAATACAGATAAGATTTTCTTTCCACTTTTCTTTGGCCAGCAAGGAAATCTAGGTCCCTATTACCGGTGGCCGGACAGCTTCATAGGAAGGCTCTTGGAAATCTGAGGAAGAGATGGAACAGGAGAATACTTTAAATCAAGACGGCCAGTCTAATGGAGGTATTCAAAGGGTTGCCTTTTTTCCCTTACTGCTGCTGCCCAGAGATGAGCCCCAAGTTGTGAAAGAGCCCTTTCCTCCTCTGATGTGTGATCTGTCCTATTTGGGAGCAGAATAGTAAAAGGAACGGAACCAGGCATAACGAGTTTCATTGCGCTTCACAGGTGTTGCGGTTTTCCAAATTGAAGGCAAGACCCTCCACTTGCAAAAAATTAGAACTCACTTTATTGGTGGTTTGGAACTGAACCCGCAGTATCTCGAGGTGTGCCGGTATTGAAAACTTAAACGGGCAAGCAACTATGATCAGTGGACAAGGAAAAATTACTTCAAATATTTCTAGGCCCCTGCCCCTTTTTAGACCAATAGGTTGCATGCATAGTATTTTCAGAGCTACAGTTCTAGCCAGCGAGGTTGCTTTCCTCTCTTCCCAGGATTTTTGGGGACCATTTATGCATTACTTCTGTGGAAGAGGCAGTGCCAGGCAGTGACTTAGGCATTAGTTAGGTCTAGGTTTGCGTCCTGGCTCTTTCACTATATTGTGGCCTTCAGCGAGTTATTTTATCTTTCTTTGCTTCAGTTTTTTTCACCTGAAAAAAGGAGATGAATAATAGCATTGTGGTGGTGGCTGTGGAAATTAGATAAGTAATTCTTTTCATGCTTCTCAAGTAAAGCATTTAGCACATGCCTAATGTATAGGAAGTATTCAATAAATGCTTTAGTTCTTTATATGCTTTACAAGTAAAGCATCTGGGACAAGTGTCTTAATACATGGGAAGTATTCAGCAAATGCTTTATTGTTAGAGTTGATTAGCATTATGAAAATATGACCTTTACTGTACAGGCATACCTCCGAGATGTTGAGGGTTCAGTTTCAGACCACTACAACAAAGCGAGTCATAATCTTTTTAGTGGTGGGCGTGCGTGCGTGCACATATGTGTGTGTGTGTGTGGGGGGGCGGGTGTCTTGCTTTCAATTTGTTAAAACTACAACATCTGTGAAGCCCAATAAAAGTGAAGTGCAATAAAACGAGGTATGCCGGTATTTGTCCCTAGTCAGTCTCTTGGGAATTGAAATTTGCCTCTGAATTTCTGTCCAGTGGTGAGCTTGAAACAATTCTAAGAGAATTGTTTTTTAAAAAACGGTTTCTGAGAAAGTCGGTGAATTTGGTGACTTTATTTTCCTCTTGGTCATTATTATGAATAACTGAGATTAGCTATATTCAGATACTGATCTCTTTGGACGTTTGTCGTGGTTAGGGACTGCGTGTACATCAATGTTCAGACTCAGAGGTTGCTGGTCTCTGATTTCTGTGGTCAGTACTTCTGGTTTTATAAATTGTGGCCAGTGTCTTAACAATTTAGCTGGCCATAAAGTTCTGAAAAAAGGGTGACCTTCTCTTCTTCCCTAAAATGCTTCCTGTTGCCAGAGTTAGAAACCCTTGGCTCTTGTGAAATTCCCTTCTTACTTTCCTCAGGTGTTTTAGCTCACTTGGAAAGACTAGAGACTCAAGTGAACAGATCCCGTAAAAAATTGGAAGAGCTGCAGAGAACTCAGGCAGTGGAAAGCACTCATGGAACGAAGATTCGTAAACTGAGAAGTCTGCGAGATAAACTGAGGGCTGAAGTGAAACAGCGTGAAGCCAGAGTGAGTAGAAGGGTGATTGCTGGTAGGCTTTCCCGTGGCGCAAAGAACATGGTCTGGAAATAAGCATATTTGTATAATGTGTTTTACCTGTGATCTTACTGGATTGATTTCAGTCCTGAATCCCTCAAAGGATCAAACCTGTAGTCTCAACTAATACCAGTATCAACTAACAATTGTCAGGCATTACTGATGGCTCAGGCAAGTTCATAGTAGTCTCAACCTACCCTCACAGACATGAACCTGTTACCTCAAACTCAGCCTAGCTTGAGTCACTGGTACTTTTGTCATTAGTGCCATTTTTCCGTTACCCAGTAACGGAAAAGCCTCACAGTAAACTTTGACCCTTCCCTCTTTTCAGTTTTCTGTTCAGCTGAAGTTCAGTGAGCACGAACTGTCAAATTTTTCTTTAAGTTGTCTTTGTGCTTCTTCCCCCACTCCATTGCAATAGCTCAGGTATTATCCGTATCTGTTGTAAATATTTATCAGATGATTTGGATGCCCGGATTGTTGCAGTAGTCTGTTAGTTGATTCTTCTAGTACTTACACTTCTCCAGTGAATCCTACACAGCCAAGAAAATGCTTCATAAAACACTGCATCGTTTCCTTGCTCAAAAACTTTCAGTAACTGTTCAGTGCCCGTGGGATGTGGTCAGCCTTCTTTTTTTTTTTTTTGCCTTCCTCCCTTCTCTTCCATTTCTCCCTTTACTTCCCTTTCTTCCTCCCCTTTTTTAAGTTATTAAAGAAAAATGTAAATATAAAGTACACAAATCTGAAGAAACTTTTACAAAGTGAACACATCCTATTCTACACAGATCAAAGTATGGAATATTATCAGTGCCTCAGAAGTCTCCCTGTTGTATCTCCCTAGTCATTTCCCTCAAAATAACTGCTATTTTGATTTCTGTCATCATGCATTGGTTTTACCTGTTTTTAAACTTCATGTAAATGTTATAAGTGTGAACTTTGGTTTCTTTATATCTGGCTTCTTTAGCCGAATGTTGTGTTGGTGAGATTCATCTGTGTTGTTACATGAAGTGGTCATTTTATTGCGAATAGTAATACCATTTTATGAATATTCCATAGTTCATTTACCTGTTGTACCGTTGGTAACATTTGGGTTATTCGGGCTGTTTTGCTTTAGGGCTTTTAAGAATAATGCTGCTTAGAATACTCTTGTTCCTGTCTTTTGGTGTAAAAATAGACACTTTATTCAGTATAGATCTGATAGAATTGTTGGGTCATAGGGTATGCATATTAGCTTTAGTAAATACTGCCAGTTTTTTAAAGTGAGTGTACCAATTTTAAATTCTCAACAATAGTGTATAAGATTTCCATTGTTTTGCATTTTTATCAATACTCGTTTTAAAATTTTGACATTCTGGTGTGAATATAATAGTGTCTCACTGTGGATTAATTTGCATTTGCCTAATAACTAATGATGTTAAGTTTCCGTGCTGGATACTTCAAAGTCTTCTGTTGTGAAATATGCTTTTCAAGGCTTTCGTAACAATTTTAATCTTATTGTAGAAGTCTTTACATATTTTGGATGTGAGTTCTTTATTGGGTATATGTATTGCAAATCTCTTACACTGGCTTGCCTTTTCAGTCTAATGGTGAAAAAGTCTGTTTTTGTAGTTCGATTTAGGAATCTAATTTTATGCTTACTGCTCTTGTCTCTTTAATAAATCTTTGCCTAATAACACTAATTGAAGGTAGTGTTATTTTCTGAAAGCTTTATTGCTTTACTTTCTACTTTCAGAATATAGTCCATCTGGAATTAATTTTTATGTATGGTATAAAATAGACGATTTTGATTTGTTTGATTCTGTGTGGCATATATGTCAAATAGACCAAATGTATTCATCGTGGGGTTCAGATGTTTTATATCCTCACTGACTGACTTGTTTACAGTCATACACCGCTTAACAACGGGATACGTTCTGAGAAATGCATTGGTAGGCGATTTCGTCGTCGTGCAAACATCTTAGAGTGCACTCACACAAACCTGGATGGTATAGCCTACTACACACTTGGCCTCCATAGCGTAGCCATTGCTCCTGGGCTACAAATCCGTACAGCATGTTACTGTGCTGAATACTGTAGGCAGTTGTAACAGTGTAAGTACTGTGTAGCTAAACATATCTAAACATAGGAAAAGTACAGTATAAATGTGGTGTAAAAGATAAAAAATAACGTGCCAGCATAGGATACTTACCATGAATGGAGCTTGCAGGATTGGAAGCTGCTGTGGGTGAGTCAGTGGAGTGCAGGTGGAAGTCAAGGACACTACACTATTGTAGACTTAATAAACAGTACGCTTAGCCTACACTAAACGTATAAAACAACATGAGATTAAATCAAACACGAGAAAATAATGCAGTCAGGAGACACGTAAACACGAGATTTGTGACACTGCTGCTGGATACTGTTTTGCAGCTAACTTAATGAGTAGAAAGAGTCCACTCTAAAATAACAGTAAAAAGTTACATACAAACCGATATCATAGTCATTTTCATCAGGTGTTATGTACTGTACATAATTGTGTGTGCTATACTCTTATACAGCTGACAACACAGTAGGTTCGTTCGTACCAGCATCACCACAAACACGTGAGTAATGTATTGGTACTATGACAGCTATGATGTCACTAAGTGATAGGAATTCTTCAGCTCCATTATAATATAATGGGGCCATTGTCATATATGTGGTCCATCATTGACCAAAAACATGCTGTGTATGTATCAGTTACTGGGATACATGTGTTGAAATCTGGTTGTGGGGTTTGTACATTGTGTCTTTTGCATTCTGTTTTTGCTCCTTATTAGGTGCAAACAAATTTAGGATTATTGCATCTTCCTGGTTGAGTTAACCTTTTATAATTATGAAATGTTCCTTTTCATTTTAAACTTTTTGCCTTAAAGTCAACTTGGTCAAATATTAGTATAACTACAACTCTTGTTTAGAATTTGCATAGTAAATATTTTTCTATTTTCACTGCCCTTATATTTAAGGTATACTTTCTCTTGTAAGTATTACATAGTTAGATATTTTTAATCCACCCTGACAGTCTGTCTTTTATTTGGAGTATTGAGTTCATGAACTTTAAATGTGATTACTGATATATCCGTATATAAATCTACCATATTCCTATTTTATTGTCTTATTCTTTTACTTTTCTCCTGTCTTGCCACCTTTTGGATTGATATTTTTATTTTTTATGTTATTACTCTTCTCCATTAGCTTATTAATTATATATTCTTTCAGCATTCTTTCAGTGGCTATCCTAGTAAAAACATGCATTTTTTTTTTCTTGAGTATACTTTTGATTAGGACTTTCATGACTTTCTGGGTAATGTAGAACCTTCTAACATCTTGACTTTTCTCTCCCACACACATACTTCTCATGCTAATTCTACATATACATATACTCTATGAAACATTTTTGTACAGTCACTATTCCTTTAAAGTTATACACATATTTACCCTTTTCAGTGCTTTTTATTACATCTGGCAGTTTCACATTTCTGTCTGGGATCCTCAGCATAAGTAGCTTCTTTTGGTACTTTTTTTAATTGTAAACCTGCTGGCTGTAGATTCTGTTTTTGTTTGAAAACATCCTTATTTTACTATCACTGTTTTTCATTTTTTTAAAGGATATTTTTGCTAGGTGTGGAGTTACAGATTGGAAGTTTTCTTTCATGCTTTAAATATATTGTCTTCTATAGTTTGTCAGATGTTAGTATTGTTTGAATATAATGTGTTTTTTCCCTCTTTTTGAGATTCTGTCTGTCTTTGGGCTTTAGCAGTTTTATTTCTTAATGGGGCTAGGAGTGGTTTTATTTCTTCAGCCTGCTTAGTGTTAATAGAGCTTCTTAAATTTATTTTTCATTTATTTTAGAAAATTTGGTTAGTACACCTTCAAATAATGCATCTGCCTCATTCTTATCCTCTATTTCTGGGGCTCCCATGTATGGAGTTCCTTCCTCCCCGCTGTTAGATTCCTAATTTTAGTCTCTGTATCTTTTGGTTCTGGGATGTCCGTCTGATTTTTTTGTTTTTAGATTCCAGCTCTTTGGTATGAGTTCTCCGTCTTTTCATGTTTTCGTAGCTGTGCCTGGTAACTCAGATAGTTGAATCCCCTTGGAGCTGTTTCTTTTGCCTTCTATTTCCTCTTGGTTTCCAGTCATCTGTCCCTTTCTCGATATGCCTGGTAAATTTTTTGAGTCGATGGTTAAGTATCGTATATGAAAAAAAACGTAAAGATTCTGTACTGTGTTCTCTTCCTCCAGAGGGAATTTTAGTTTTTTACTGACAGGCAAATAGCATATGGGCAAATCGCCTTAATCCAGCTGGGGTGGTCTGTATTTGGGGTTGCCTCTCCTTCTAGGGTATAGCCTTTTTTTTAGGGCCCTCCGTTGAAAGTCCGGGTGTGTGTTGGGGACAGGTCTGTCGAGGCCCCTCTTCCTTAGCAGTCCCTGAACTCCAGATTTCGTTGTGCCAAAATCTCTGCTTAGCTTATTAACTTTCAGCAGGTTCTTTCTCAGTACCCAGTCACACACATACAGTTCAAGAACTGGCAAATGCCTGGAGGCAGATTGCCTGCAGAATGTTGGGTTCCCTTTTGTACGGGATGTTGGCCCATAGAATGGCTGCTTTGGTAACCCTGGTGTCCAGTTTTTGTCTCAGTGGAATTGCTACAAAGTCTCGTGGGTAGCTCTCTATTCGGCCTGTATGCCTTGTGATAGACGCTCTGAGGGGAAAAAATGTAGGGA